AACTAAACCCTGAAGTAAAAGAGAATTTGAATACTTCATCATCCTTCCTTTGTACTGTTGAAGACATGAGCTGGTGTGGCAGTGTTGATCCATGTAAGCCAGAAAGTGGAACCGGCACATTTCCATTATATGACATATCCGACTAAGTACAACCATGACTGTCGATAGCTTTAGTAGGACCGAGAGCTCCACAAATGAAGCTGGTGTTTCAACTACTCTTGATATATGCAGTAAATGCCCCTAAACTGGATGGTAGCATTAACTGTGACATTGTCTGAAGTAAGGTAGAAAGTACAGTATATGGAGACATTCCCAGTTGTGATCACCAGTAGCAGTGGCCATTAGGAGAACACTATCAACAAGTCTTTGTTCAATTCTATATGGCTGAAATAATGCAGATGTGATGTTATTTTGTTTTGTCTAGTCAAGTCTGTATTGAAATATGACAATATGGATATACTAGTAGTCATTTTTGACTAGCAAGAAAACACGGAACATTTCTCATTAATTGTACTGATCATGCTGATACAGCTGTAAGATAGTCTGACATTTGAAGGCATCTCGTTCTCTACCTGTATACATCTTTCTTAAATGTATTAAAGACTTGTTATTAAAATAGGATTTGCCCAATTCTGATGCATCACATTTGACATGGACCCAAATGCTCTTCCTTCAAAAGAGATTTGACATCACTTTGGATCGGCTGCCCACTTGTTAAGAATAAGCAGGGTGCATTTTTCACGATCTGTCATAATGATGTTTGCTGGATCTGCATTAAATGAAGGTCCAAAACAGAAATAAATTCAAATAAGGCCTTTTTTTAGAAGTTGGAATTGTGCATGAAGGAAATATGAAATCTGATAATTTAATATATTTGTTCCTATGAATGCCAAATTATGTCATCACTACCAAATCATGCATAAAATATGTTAACCTGCAAGCCATAAATTAAACAAGATGACTGATTCACACAACACTGCACATACAGCATCATTCAAGAAGAGCCCAACAAAGATCTAAAATGCCTGACTTTAATCACTGACTGAACAGATGCTCTCAGGCGAACAGACAGGTGCAGAAAAGCATATTTACCCTGCTTGAATGATTGTACTTTGAAGCAATGAATAATTTATTCAAAAATTTAAAACAGGTTTTGAGTGTTTAATCCTGAAAGCCTGCATTGAATTCTCCAGAATAAAAAGGATCTGAGTTGTTGTTTTTCACTATGTGATGCGAATTGACAGTTCATAGTGAAATAACTAAATTGAAATACCTTGGCATCCAGAATAAAAAAATTGTTATGGTTATGCCCAGAATATTATAACATTATGTTTTAGGATTTGGAAATAGTCATCTACAACAGTAGCCATGCCCAGATCTATCTTATTTCCAAATTAATCATGTAAGCATTTTTATTAAAACTGTGATGCAGGAAAGTAGCATTGATACATCTTTAATGTTGACAAAAGTATGCCTAAAGATTTGTTGTATAAGTAATGTTATGTAGTCTATCTTGCAGGACAGGAATATCTAGATTTCTAGTGGTGGCAAAGAAAAACATTCAGTTTTTCATGCATACATGACTAGTTTTATGGATAACAACTTCTAACTGCCTTTCAATAACTTCATTCAGTTTTTCATTTTTACAAAAACAATGCTTAATATTGCAAATAGTTTGAATTCTGAAAAAATGTTTGAGATGGAATATTTAAGTTTATCTTGAATGTTTGAAAAGATATTCCAGAGTATTTGTTTTGGTTGTTTCAGGCACATATTTACACAATCACTTTTAAGTATGATTTTTCAATCCAATGCAATGAATCTTTGCAATAAAATCAAAGGATACCTCCATAAAAGTTTGGACCACCCTTAGCAAACTTCCACTGCCCATTTAAGTGGAGGAGTGTAGTTGGTTCCTGGGCTGATCAGATCTAGATTCATATCCGGTTCATTTTTCAGACACAGTTAACATTGACTGATTTGTCTGGGTTCTGTTTTGTCTGGGTTCTGTTTTGTCTGGGTTCTGTTTTGTCTGGGTTCTGTTTTGTCTCGGTTCTGTTTTGTCTGGGTTCTGTTTTGTCTGGGTTCTGTTTTGGCAGATAATCACAACTGATTATCCTTTAGTGTTTAAGGTTTTCGATTCATCACCTCAATTTGATATTTGATTTCAACGACGGCTAACACAGAATGCAAATTTTTCCTTTGACGCTACTCCTTTTTGGTGTAGAGTCCATGGTGCTAAGATAAGACAGTCATAATGAAATATCGACTACAATATAATGGCACAGCATTTATCATTTACAAGAAGATTAACTTCAAGATACTAAAATCAGATATACAGGTCAGAATGCTTCGCTTATTTGTACCAAGTTCACAGCCTCCTCACTGAATGGGTGATAGGACAGTTTATTTGAGGTGTATTCCTCCGGAGGGGTTCCCAGAGTGTACTGAAAATATTGGTGTGACGGCACAAAGCTGGTTGAGTGAATTGAGTGAAAATATTGGTGCAATAACAAAACTCGTGTGAAAAGTCAACTGTGTGAAACTATTGGTGTGAAGGCACAAAACTGGTGCGAGGAAACTGAGTGAAAATATTGGCGTGAAGGCACAAAACAGGTGCGAGGAAACTGAGTGAAAATATTGGTGTGATGGCATAAAGCTGGTTGAGGAAACTGAGTGAAAATATTGATGTGATGGCATAAAGATGGTTGAGTAAAGTGAGTGAAAATATTGGTATGCTGGCACAAAGCTGGTTGTGTGAACTGAGTGAAATTATTGGTGTGATGGCATAAAGCTGGTTGAGTACACTGCCCGAGTGTTTTCTCCTGCACATGTGGGCTCGTGGCATGTGTTACTATTCATGCAGTGTTCGCCCCAGGCCAGTGTCAGCTTGTGTCATCCTCCCTGACTTTTGCATTGTCATCTGTCACCCTTGTCATCAATTATCATGTGAACATACGCATTCATATTTCAAGCTGCTCGGTCATCCTTCACAGACCTGTTGGGAAGAACAATTTCACTCAGACCACCTGCTCGAAAGAAACTCGTTTGAAAAGAAAGGATGTCTGTATGGCAGTTTATTGTGATAAAAAAACAATAAAAGGCGATGAATCAAAGGACAAAACATCCATGAAAGAAGGCTCTTGATTATATTAACACAATTAGTAAGATAAAAAGAATAGCAAGTATAACTGTTTCCAGTATCAATAGGATCATGCCAATTTGTAGTTAGTCTTAAATATTGTTTTGATGTGGCAGATCATGAAATGAAAACAGGAACATTTGAAGAGAGTGTGCGATACATGTTTACGTTTAATAATAATAATAGTCCGCTTATATGGCGCTCATATCCAGGCACATTGCCTGCTCACGGCGCTACATACATTACTATCTCCGGTCATAGGACTGCATCATACTATCCGATACTTTTTCAACTCCCTGGGGAGCATACAGTCTTACTGTGTTTCATTACGTTTCATAGTATTGTAACATGGTGTATATGATCATCAGGTATTCGTCCATATGGGAGGCGGTGAGGTAGCCTAATGGTTAAAGCGTTGGCTCGTCACGCTGAAGACCCGGGTTCGAATCCCCACATGGGTACAATGTGTGAAGCCCATTTCGCCGTGATGTTGCTGGAATATTGCTAAAAGCGGCGTAAAACCAAAGTCAGTCAGTCAGTCAGTCAGTCAGTCGTCCATATGGATGCCTGCAGTAGATTTAGTAGTAACACCATGATTATTAGACGATGCATTTTTTAGTGCATGTATTTGAAAGTCAAGTCAACTTATGTCGTGCCCACAGTTGTTTTAAACTGTTATGAAATTGGTATGTGTGTAATTGTTATTGATGTTTTCAGTTTTGACTTTTTTGTTACATTTATGCTTTGACCAATTCTTTCGGAATACGTCTCCTCACACCTTCAACATTTCATATGCTTGTTTCTCAAGTTATGGCATCCTAAGTTTTGTTTATTCTGATTTTAAATATAGGTACCTCTTAAAAAAAAATATATCTACTTATGAACATCACTCAGCCATTTTTTTTGTTTAGAATGTACCAGCAATGAAATTTGGTATTTGTTCAGTTTCATGATATTTTTAAAACAATTTAACTGCTTTTGACTCTGCTCTCCATTGTCTCAACAGACACATATTTTGCTAAGGGAGCTGAACTTTGGCATGTCGTTTTCCTTTTAATGATGACACATTTTGTTCAAATAATGAAATATTAATGTTTGTTTTTGTTCCTCAGTATTTATGAAAGATTTTCTAAATATCAGTGGTCGCAGCAACGTTTTTATCAACTGACAGAAACAGCAAGGTCACTAGCCAGTGGAAAATATATTTACTTTACAGTTATGTTGATCTTGAGTTTGTTAAAGGAGAATTTGAATTCTGTGTTTGACAGAAAAGTGAATTGTGTGAAATGTATATTTTTGTGGGTTTTATCATTTGTAATGTAGGCTCAATCTGTGAAACAAGTTAAAAATGGGCTGGAATTCATTTACTATGAAAATGTATTATAGTGAAAAGCATGTATACTAATGGTGTTTTGTGTGTTTCAGGTAGAGGTGTGAGGAGGCAAATGCAGCATCTACCTCCAGTACGTGTAATGGTCTCTCCTACCTGTCGTCAACTACCTCACCCCACATTACCCAGCTACCATGAGTGGCAGTAACAAGAGCTACCTCCCATCGCAGAGGATGATGCCCGTTTATACCACTGTCAGCCCTCCTCAGACAGAACAGAACAGTGTACCAGAGTTCCCCTACGATCCTGTGCCCAGCAAAGCGTTGTCCTCACTTTCCAAATCTGCTTCATATGGCCTGTCTTTGGAAGTAAAATCTTCCCAGTCCAAGTCGTCTGTTTTCGCTATGGCCCCAGGAGAGTCTCCTAAGCAGTCCGCTTCATATTCGCGAGTCCAGGAGTTTCCCTATGACCCGCCTGACAAGAGCAAACCTCCAGACTATCCCTACGATGCATTGCCCAATGGTGGGAAGTCTGGGCAGCCTGGGCAGCCTCCTGCTGCTGCTTACAGTCAGGAAGACAAGACCTCCCCACCCTCCCTAGCTTTAGCATATCCTCGCATGCAGGACTTTCCATACGGGTTAAGCGGTGTAGCTATGCCGAGCTACAATTACAGCAGTGAACTTTATAGTTATGTGTCAAACGGGTTTCCTCGAAAATCGAGAATGTGCAGCTATTGTGGAAAAGTATTCACTCGATCCACAACTCGTCGATATCATGAAAAGCGGTGTCCTTTGTTGCGAGCTGCTGGTAGCTTGTTGAAGAACGAAACACAAGTAGCAGCAGTAGCAGCAGCGCCGGCAGTAAAGACCGAAACCTCTCCATCTTACGCTTCAGCAAATACCTCTACCATCTCCTCAAGTCAACATACCTCATTTGTACTGGCTTCTTTATCCTCCCAGCCATATGCATCTACCTCAACTGCTGCTGTGGACCAAAATCGTAATGCAGTTAGCGGGATTAAGGGTGAACCTCAAGAGATGCTAGATCCATCACCCTCAAATTCTGAAAGTTTTAGCCAGGGAGATCTTAGTACCCCACGTTACACTCCGGATTTTGATTCAGCCAATCAGCAGGCTTTAATGTTTTCCCCTCCAATGAAGGACCGCTCCTCCGAATCGCCATTATCATTACAGACTGATAACCAGACTGCCTCAGATCATCTTGATACGGGTGAACCATTAGTGTTCAAAGATAACGTGGACCACAGCACAGCGTCTGAACTTGGGGCCGGCAGCACTGATGCCCTTTACAGCAACTCCAATGCCGGTTACCAGCAGTACAAGGACATTAAAGTGTCGCGACAATCGTCTCATCACTCAGGGATTGCCACTAGTTCATATAATGACACCATTTCTCAGGGTACCTCTGGAGATGGCAGCAGTTTCAATCAGGACATGGCTCAGGAAAATGATACTATGTGTGACTCCAAATCTGAGGAGCGTACACCAAAATCTGTTCTTGCCAACAAATGCAGTATTTGTGGAAAAACATTTGATTCACCTCGTCAGCTTCACATACACGAACAGCTGCACACAAAGTACAAGCCATATGCATGTCGTTTCTGTGGCCAACGTTTCCTAAAAGTATCAATGCGTATAGCACATGAACGGCTTCATATCGGAGAAAAGCCTTACGTCTGTGCTATTTGTGGGCTGACGTTCACACGCAAGTATAGTGTGCGGCTTCACATGCGAAGGAGACATACAGATGGACCATGTCTTTGTCGCTATTGTGGGAAGACGCTGTACACATTGCAGACTCTGAAGAGCCACCTGCTGTCACACAACCTGCCCAAGTCTGAGAAAGAGTCTCTACACTACCTCGGGACATCAGGAGGGGAGCGCATTGCTGATGCTAGTGGTTCCCAAGAAGATGATGAAAATGCATTATTACCAACGGCTCCTGAAGACCAGCTTGCCAATCCCAACAAAGATATTGCTCTTGCTATGGAGCTTGAGCTTGCAGGCAATTCAAAAGAGAAGGAATGGTGTAAGCTGTGTGAGAAAGAATTTCCCAAATCGTTTATGAGATATCATGAAAAGCTCCATGCTGATCAGAAGCCCTATGAATGCCCTACATGTAACAAGAGGTTTGGTTACAAGAATAACATGAAATCTCATATGAAGCTCCATGCTGGAATAAAACCATATCAGTGTCATGTGTGCGGGGCAAAGTTCACACGTGGTTCAACATTACGGAGACATGCCCGCCGTCATGGGATATTCACTGAAAGTGTGTGGGATTTCTTTGTCCAGAAGGGTGCTTCCTCAGGAAATCAGAACAATGTCTCAAAGCAGAAGGTACCAGTGGGCCCTCTTAAAGTGCAGATTCAAGGCCAAGGACAGTCTTCGCCAGAAATATCAAGTTCAAGGTCAACACAAGGTGAAACCGCAAGAGCATCAGTAACACCTGATAAATCACAGAACTATGAACGTGGAGCATACTCTGGACCGCCTGCTCTGACTACAAGTAACATGTACCCTGGCTATGCAGCAGTAGCCACCTTACCCGAGAGTATTTATCACACATATCCATCTACCTCACACTACAATGTTAACTATTCCAATTACACTGCTAGTCAAGAACCTCAGGCTGATGCCCTCAACCTGAGTGTGACCAAGGACTCCATGGATCCTGCTGCTGTTGCAGCTGCTGCTGCTGCTGTTGCTGCTGCTGCCACTACTGCTGTTACTGAAATAGCAGAAACATCCGAGGATGAAGCAGACGGAAGTGAGAGCAAGAGCAACATATCCTCCCACACTTGCACATCGGGTGGTGCTAGTGTTGGGGTGCAGGTCAACCTCTGTGGGTGTAACGATAAGACCTCGCTTCTCTCCACTTTGCCATTTGACCACCGACTTCTCAGTCCACTTAATATCGACGGGTCCGGGACGACGGCAACAAGTCCCTCACTGAGTTCAGGGGGAGATAACTTTAATCAGGAATCTGTATCTACGCTGATGAGTTCGGGACGCCTGTTTCGGTGCAGTCACTGCGATTGTTACTTTTCTGAGTATGCTATGTACCGTATTCACCAGAAGCTGCACGCACGAGATGCCAACCGGCCCTTCCTGTGTCCTGTGTGTTTCGAGGACTGTCATGACAAGATGTATTACCGTTGCATCTTTATGAACATCTACGCATGTGACCCACCTCAATAGACAAGCACCTCCTCAAACTTACCTCATTTTAGCATTATCATCATTATTATTATTGTTGTTGCTTTTAAGGTATTTGCCTGTCTCAAGATAGACAGCTTTCAACTTGTTGAATTTATGGTCATAATGCATTATTCAATCAGGAAATTGATTTATGGATCTAAGTTGTTGATGTCTGCTTGTGTCAGCTCTCTTAAAAGGCACCTATATTTCAATCGGTAATGATTTTCTACATAATAAGCGTGAAATCTACATGTAGTATCTTTCCAAACAAATAGACATATGTCGTTAGCATCATTCTGTCTCATGAGACCAACACCACTGTTTCAGATAATACCAATATAAAAGAAAATTGTTGAAAGTTGTGACTTCATGTTCTCTCCAGAAAAGATCTGTTTTTACTAAATGTATATTAGTGCTTGCATTTGGGGTAGATATACTACATATATGAAAGTTAAAACTTATTCCTGTGATAGATTGATCTTTGATAGCTCAAAGTGGCCTTTGTTGAGAGATATGTGTAAAACACGCATTGTTTAAAGACAGTGATGTACTGCTGTAAATACGTGAAAATTGTAGAATGTATGTGTTTGTTACGGGTCAATGCTGGTAACCAGGGAAACTCCAGATTTCATGGTTCCTTAGATGTCTTAATAGACTAGTGCATTACAAGCTCTGTTTTAGGGTGATATTGTCACAATGAAATGTGTCAGGGACTTAGTGTCTGAAGTCTAGTGATGTGTACAGTCCTCCTCCTCCCTTGTGCCTTAGAGAGGGAAATAGTTGTCCTTGTATACCGTTGTGGTAGTTAATGTCCCATAGTGGGGAAAACACCGCCATTACAGGCTGGGCCTCTACCATGGTAGTGAATGTCCCATAGTGGGGAAAACACCGCCATTACAGGCTGGGCCTCTACCATGGTAGTGAATGTCCCATAGTGGGGAAAACACCGCCATTACAGGCTGGGCCTCTACCATGGTAGTGAATGTCCCATAGTGGGGAAAACACCGCCATTACAGGCTGGGCCTCTACCATGGTAGTGAATGTCCCATAGTGGGGAAAACACCGCCATTACAGGCTGGGCCTCTACCATGGTAGTGAATGTCCCATAGTGGGGAAAACACCGCCATTACAGGCTGGGCCCCTACCATGGTAGTGAATGTCCCATAGTGAGGAAAACATCGCCATCATACATTGGGCCCCTACCATGGTAGTGAATGTCCCATAGTGGGGAAAGCATCGCCATTATAGGCTGAACCCCTACCATGGTAGTGAATGTCCCATAGTGGGGAAAACATCGCCATTATAGGCTGGGCCCCTACCATGGTAGTGAATGTCCCATTGTGGGGAAAACATCGCCATCATACATGGGGCCCCTACCATGGTAGTGAATATCCAATAGTGGGGAAAACATCGCCATTGTAGGCTGAGCCCCTACCATGGTAGTGAATGTCCCATAGTGGGGAAAGCATTGCCATTATAGGCTGAGCCCCTACCATGGTAGTGAATGTCCCATAGTGGGGAAAACATCGCCATCATACCATGGGCCCCTACCATGGTGAATGTCCCATAGTGGGGAAAACATCGCCATCATACATGGGGCCCCTACCATGGTAGTGAATGTCCTATGGTGGGGAAACATCGCTATCATACATGGGGCCCTTACCATGGTAGTGAATATCCAATAGTGGTAACACATGTTGCAACCATACACTGTCCCCTACCATGGTAGTGAATATCCAATAGTGGTAACACATGTTGCAACCATACACTGTCCCCTACTATGGTAGTGAATATCCAATAGTGGTAACACATGTTGCAACCATACACTGTCCCCTACCATGGTAGGGAATATCCCATATTAGTGTTACCATATTTGCTACCATTTTTTATCATAATGCAAATTCATATCTTTTGCCTCCATTTTTATAGAAAAAAATTATTCAAATGTTTTTAAAGAAACAAAACAGATAAAGTAAGAAGTTTATGGTTGATATTTTTTGCAAAAAGATTTGAAAATTGCTATTGCAATATGTCTGGTTTTGGGAAAGGCTGTAACTTGGCAATAAATCTGGTATCATGACATGGGTGCAAACAGTGTTGGTTTTGAGACATTTCGTTGTGTTAGTCGCTGCCTGTATGATGCCCACTCTGTTATGGAGAAGGATGTTTGTTCAGCAGAACCACATTTCTCTGGAAGTTTCTATCAACTCATGCACCCTGATTCATCAGTTGTACTACCTGAACAAAAATTCATCTTATTGATCTAACCTTAAAAACTTCATGAGTCTTAATTTTGTTAATCAGATGCCATGTTTACATTTTTAGCATTTAGCCATTCGAGTGTAACAAGGAAGAAATAACGGATGAAATGAGAAGTTGTAATTAGAAACAGTTTCAGTGATAAGATGGTTCTCTCTGTATACTGATGTAAATCCTTAACATCAGGATGCGGTGGCAAATGGTTTCCTCCCCCCCCCTGTGTTACTCTTGTACCTCACATTTTGTATTTACTGAGTTTAACACTGTTGTCTTTTATTGTGTTTTTCTGGTTGAGCAAGTGTACACAGTCCAGTGCCCTCTGCCTGTATGTTGAAGGCCTGATGAAAGTTTAGGGTTTAGGGGTAAGGAATGGGATCACTTGTTGAAGGGTTGGGATCACTTGTTGAAGGGTTGGGATCACTTGTTGAAGGGTTGGGATCACTTGTTCAAGGGTTGGGTTGAAGGATGCCGGTTTAAGGGTTAGATTGAGGTTGGTCTGTTCAAGGGCTAGTAGGGTAGAGAGCTGGGCTGGAGAGACAAATGTTGAAGGGTTAAAAGCAGCTATTGAAGGATGAAGGGCATCTATTAAAGGGTTTAGGGTTGAAGGTTTTTCTTGGGGAGAGCCCATTGAAGAGGTAAGGGTTGAGAGACCATGTTGAGGTTATGTAAATAGAGTGTATTCAAGGGTTGAAAATTAGGTTCAGTGTTCAAAATAAGCACTAACCCATAGGCCTGTGACAGGTAGATTCGTATCAGGCCAAGAGATTCAAATTTGTCTGGGCCCTTATGGCATGCAGTAAATGTAAGTGTCGATTTGTTTGTCACAATAAGCTGCTTTGTTGTTAGATTAAAGCATAAGGAATTTAGTCACAGCCTACAACTTCGACTGTCTGGGGGGTCTGATAGTGGCATGGCAATGGTTTTGTTTTCAAACACTGTTTAGGTTTGGGAGGGTCCATTGAAGGGTTAGGTTTGGGAGGGTCCATTGAAGGGTTAGGTTTAGGAGGGCCCATTGAAGGGTTAGGTTTGGGAGGGCCCATTGAAGGGTTAGGTTTGGGAGGGCCCATTGAAGGGTTAGGTTTGGGAGGGCCCATTGAAGGGTTAGGTTTGGGAGGGTCCATTGAAGGGTAAGGTTTGGGAGGGTCCATTGAAGGGTTAGGTTTAGGAGGGCCCATTGAAGGGTTAGGTTTAGGAGGGCCCATTGAAGGGTTAGGTTTAGGAGGGCCCATTGAAGGGTTAGGTTTAGGAGGGCCCATTGAAGCTTTTGTTGGGAGGGCTCATGGAGACCAGTGCCCATGGTTGGAGATACAGGCAACTGCCACATCAACTACCTCATGTTCTGGCAGATGGAGAGGCACTGGACAGCACTGGCTCTGATTATTTCAGTATACCTCAATATATCACCGAATGTACTTGTCCTCGTATACCACAGATGGTGAGCCTCCTTTATTTGTCCCATATTGTATGTATTTCATGTATGACTTGCATTTTATGTTAATCTCAGTTATTGTATTGTTATTGCCTTGAGCACTGTGTGCAGGCTAGTACAAGACCTACACTATTTGTAGTAGTTTTAGATAATGGATTAACTCCTCAGGAAAACTGTCCTTTCTCTACACTGTATAGCTTCACCCAAACTGGAAATATTATCTCCTGCATTGCTTGTACATTTGGCATATCGAAGGAAAATCAAAGACAATATGAAATTCTGATATTTAGTTCCACAGTTAGTAACAGTTCCACCTGATAATGATGACTGTTTGGGCATTAGGAACTGAGACTAGATTTGTTTACCTCCAACTCTGTTGCTTAATCTGTCATACTTAACATTCTATAGATTCCCAGGCAGCTATTGTAGGACTTCACAGCCACTCTCAGGCCCCTCTGTTTGGGCGCTGATCGTTGGCTGCATAGTTATCACACACAGTTATCACACACTCAGTACATGCAGGTGTGACACATGTATACACACGTTGACTCAGGTCCTGTTATCCCACACACGAGTTCACTCAGGTCCTGTTATCACACACACGAGTTTACTCAGGTCCTGTTATCACACACGAGTTCACTCAGGTCCTGTTATCACACACACGAGTTTACTCAGGTCCTGTTATCACACACACGAGTTTACTCAGGTCCTGTTATCACACACACGAGTTCACTCAGGTCCTGTTATCACACACACTATTTCACCTAGCAACAGTTGTCACACACACTAGTTCGTCCAGCAACAGTTTTCACACACACTAGTTCAACACATCAAGCATCATAATGACAAACGAAACATGACACAGCTGGTTCCAAAGAATGAACATAAGAACCCAAGACACGTCCATAACACATCAGGGACGGTGGGGTAGCCCAGTGGTTAAAGCATTCGCTCGTCATGCCGATTCCCCGCATGGGTGCAATGTGTGAAGCCCATTTCTGGTGTCCCCCGCCATGATATTGCTGGAATATTGCTAAAAGCGACATAAAAGTAAACTCTACAACACCACAAGGTGACACCATCATATGTCCATGCTTTCAACATCACCCAACCATATGTCCATGCTTTCAACATCACACCACCATATGTCCATGCACACGACATCACACCACCATATGTCCATACACACAATGATACACCCCGATATGTCCATGCACACGATGATACGACACGATATGTCCATGCACACGATGATACACCACCATATGTCCATGCACACGATGATACACCATGGTATGTCCATGCACACGATGATACACCACGATGATACACCACGATGATACACCACGATATGTCCATGCACACGATGATACACCACGATATGTCCATGCACACGATGATACACCACGATATGTCCATGCACACGATGATACACCACCATATGTCCATGCACACATCACACCACGATATGTCCATGCACACGATGATACACCACCATATGTCCATGCACACTACATCACACCACCATATGCCCATGCACACGATGATACACCACCATATGTCCATGCACACGATGATACACCACCATATGTCCAGGCACACAATGATACACACAATGATACACCACCATATGTCCATGCACACGATGATACACCACCATATGTCCATGCACACAATGATACACCACGATATGTCCATGCACACATGATACACCACCATATGTCCATGCACACATGATACACCACGATATGTCCATGCACACGATGATACACCACCATATGTCCACGAATGATACACATATGTCCACACACAATGATACACCACGATATGTCCATGCACACTACATCACACTACCATATGCCCATGCACACGATGATACACCACGATATGTCCTTGCACACAATGATACACCACGATATGTCCATGCACACGACATCACACCACGATATGTCCATGCACACGATGATACACCACGATATGTCCATGCACACGATGATCACACCACCATATGTCCATGCACACGATATCACACCACCATATGTCCATATACACGATGATACACCACGATATGTCCATGCACACGACATCACACTACCATATGCCCATGCACATGACACTACAAAAAGACATTGCGGAAGATTCACCAAGCCATACCCACCGACATAACTGTATACTCTGCAGCTTCTATCAGGTCTGAGCACTGATCAAATAACTGAAGGCTTCACAAGCTGATCCCTACGAGCATTCTAGTCTAATTGTTGTAACTAGACCAGAAGAACATGGCACATAGAATGGAGTAATGTTTGGGTGAGACTGCTGTTTGACTTGATGTAGAGATCTGACAGAAGGAACATTTGACATCCTCAGGAGGGGCCAGTATATCCTATATTTGATGTATGTATGTGTATTATATAGCTATATTATTACACCTAGTGTAAGAGAGTTTATATATCATAGATTATTACTGCCGACACAAACTCTGTATATACTATGGTGGTGTTACTTGTTAGAGTTTTGACAGGACCAGATGCTGAATGAAGAACGGGAATGAACTACACAAAACTCAGGTCTGCATTTTACTCTGTAATTATTGTTGCTGTAGTTACATAGCTCATTGTTGTTTGCTAGCCAGACGTAGCTCCTGGGCGGTGTTGCCATCACCGTTGTCATTGTCACCGAGGTCTTCTCGCTTGATGATGTGAGTAAGGTGATGCAAAGCTAACCATCAGTGCAAACTTGTTGGACAGGAGAATATAGAGCATTGTTCTGGAGCTTCGTCAAAATGGTTGAGTACTGGTTGAATGGATATCAAGTCAGTTGAACTTTTGACATCAGCTGTGCACCAGTTGCAAGTTAGTGCTGCATTGTTACATGATGTGACTACACAAGCCAATATCAAATTTGGACAATTTGTTGTTATTGTTAAATATCCTCCATTGAATTACATTTCATTGTACACAGTTTTAAAAGGGTACTTGCCTGCCAACTGTCCATTTGCTTCTAGACAAAATTACACTGAAGCAGACGTGACTTCTTAAATTGACTGACTGGCATTTGTTAGTCACAGAGTTGAGTCTGAATTTCGGAGACAAGTCACCTTTCGGTACTGTTGAGTGATAGGTTATGATTACACAAGATCGCCATTAGCTAGCTCCATGTGTATGCCGTGAATTTCAGGTCCAAAACGCTGACATGGGTTTTTTTTGTACATGATTAAACTTTAGACCTCAGATTCTTTACATTGAATTTTTGTTGAACATATTTTATTGTTGTATTAATTTTGCTAAGTTTGTTATGCTGAGTGGATGAAGTAAATAAGCTTGCTGTGATCCCCAGCATTACTGTAAGCAAGATGTTACGATATTTCATGAAAGGTTTATACAAGTGATTATTCATTATTGTTGGAAACAAATATGATCATGTGATTGTGTATGGTGAAGTATCTGGTGCACATGCCTATGTAAGGGGAGCTAACTCTGTCCTAGCACTCTTTGCAATTCTGTGAAGAGTTGTCTAACTTGACAAAATACCCTTGTTACGAATCATAAATTTGATGTTGCCATGCAGTTGTAGTTTTAACTGGTGATGGAAGTTACTGGGGAATTTTTTATTTCAAAAATCAAATTAAGGGGTATTTTGTGAAGCAAAACATAAAACATGTTGTTCTGGGAGCAGTTGCTTGTTGCGTACTCATAGTAGAATCATCTCCTTTCTACCAAAGAAAGATTCATTGTTCATACGGTCATCTCACTACAGTGTATTGCCTACTGGTTCTTGTATGAATAATGAACAGACTTTAACCTACCTCATTTCACTGGATTTTATATTTAATTTTTGTGTACAAAGTTGTTTTATCCTGGCTGTATATTAAAAGAGGCATATAGCTCTCTCATATATATCCTAGACTTAGAACCAGCTATCCTGTTTGTTATGTATTGGAAAATTGAGACAAAATGTTGCATATATATCAGTCCTCATGTGCAACGCTATACATCAGCTCTCACTTTGTGTCACACGATTATTGGTAGAAATACGGTATTTTTTATATTGCCACCAAACGACAGCATTGTAAGCAGACAAATAGTTGTCTACATGTTTTCGTACTTGTAAAATTCTCACAGCGGAGACATTTGCAGTCACGGGAGGCCATCTTGTAACAGCATTCTTTACAGTTGAGCATGGCGTGTATTCCCATAATTAGCAGACTGGTTGATTGATAGAAATAGACGATGTGAATTCCAATGACAATGTGTAAATTGTTTCCTAATTTGTTATGTTTTCAGGGAAAAGAAAATAATGTATTTGAAATCTATTTTTCATTATTTGTTGATCTATTGTTGATCATCTAAATCTATTGTTTACTGGTATCTACTCAACCTATTGTTTGATCTTTTGATTGCACTGATATATATATCGATATATTATCAGAACTACTGATCAGTAATCCTTGACATTTTGATAAGAGCGAATGTGGGAGAGAAGATTATATGATTAAATCTCTAATCTGTCTACCTTAACTGCAGGTAAATGAGGTGTTATTTGAAAGTATTCTTATTTCTAACCAGTGATTATTAGCAGTGTGTGTTTAACAAGACCATTTTGAATACAAGTTACGCAAGTACCTTTTTTTCAAGAGGCATTAACAAAACAAATACTTATCAATTAAGCGTATTTACTGGATGTATGTTTTTAATATGTTTAATTACATTCTATCTGTCAGGAAGGTTTATTGGCATTTCACTTTGTCTTGACGAAAATATTACCTCAGTCTCTGTACTTCAAGTATTCAACAGAGTGACAAGAAGATTTGTTGATAATGAATTACATTTAAAAATGACTCCTCTTACCCTACTTCAGGATCAGGATCAGATTGAAAACCAATAAGGTTTTTGTCAGGAAAAAGGAGGAATATTCTATATCTGTTGTCTGATTCTGCACGCCATGAATATTGTATTTCAGGTATGCATTACTTTATTCACTACTATAGTCCGTTTGGCTCAAAAGTGGGCTGATGAATTGCAGTCTAACTCGAAAACTAATAAACATATAATACTCAATGAAAAGCTGATCATAACCAAAACATCAGACCTACTCTGTGATTTGTTTGCAGAATTTATGTCCTAAAATTAAAAAAGTTGTTTAACAAACTATCATTAAAATATTGACACAGTTCACTATTTGTTATGAGGGAGGAGTGCAGAGAAAGGGACAGCCAGGTGTAAGAGAAGCACGTGCACAAGTGCCGACAAAGTTATTGATTGACCTGTGCTGTGACGTCTCCATCCTTTCTCGCACACCTGGCTGTCCCTTTCTCTGCACTCCTCCATCGTAACAAATAGTGAACTGTGTTAATATTTTAATGATAGTTAAACAACTTTTTTATTTTTAAGACATAAATTCTGCAAAAACCTCACAAAGTAGGTCTGACGTTTTCATTATGATCAGTGTTTCATTGAGTATTTTATGGTTATTAGTTTTCGAGTTAGATTGCAATTCATCGGTCCGCTTTTGAGCCAAACGGACTATAAGCTCAGATGCAATAGTACGTAACATGTTTCTGACTCAAACCAACCTATTGGAATACTTGCTGTAATAGATTGTCAAGACTCCACTCTGTATGGCATCCCTCTCTGGGTTGCAGGAGTTATAGTGCTGAAAACCTACAAGGAAAACCGTTCACCTCACGACTTATATTGTAACACATTGTTGGATTTGTCATAAGTACCCCTGTTAGTATTGTTTTGTCCTGGACAAGATGAAGTGTTGCAGATTTGTGTGAACTGTCTCTAAGAATGCTGCCAGAATTTGGTCCCACGTGAAACTGCTAGTAGTACTCTCCCTGGCATTCCTGTTGTCTGCATGAGGCTGTCTGTCTGACCATCCGTCTGCTACACATACGCACCGAGCCATATTCACCAGAATGACGATCTTGAGCAACACAACATTGATAATTCCAAACAAATATCCTAGACAATTTAGGAATACCATTAGTCTTATGTAAAACACTGTTCATTTCTGCCCATGTAGATTCTGAATGACAAGGGCACTTATCATATGTTATATTTGGCATTACACTTCTAAATGGCATTGTGTATTCAAGGGCAGGTAACTCTAAATGCATTTCATCGGCATGGCTATATATTGTTATGGCGGGTGATCATTTGTATTGGCTCATGTCATGGTTATAGAAATGTTTCTGATTTGTCGTGAGTTTGAGAAGTATACTTCACAAGAAATCTAATGTGTCATGCTGCCATGCAATATATGTTACTGTCACTGTGCCACAACATAGCCAGTCCACAGCATGACAAAAACAACAATACTTCCCTTGTGTAAAACTGGCATATAGTCATGCTTTAGACGGAGAATCATGTAGTGTTTTGATGATTGGTGTTGTAGACGGACGTGATCAGACAGACGACACTCTCTTGTTATTGGTTCATGTTGTTGTACCGCCCAGCAGGGTGGTGGGGACTGAGCAA